GTTGCACTACCCTCCATTTGAACAAATGATGACTGAAAGTACTGCCACCATTATAAACCCAACACATATTTGTAGATAATAAAAATAACTAAAGCAACTTAAGGCTTTTTTAAGCAAATAATAATGAACAAATAGCCAAGCAAACGAAACCACAAGAGTGTCAACCTCCATTCTTGCTAGTATTGCAATTGAATGGTAAAAACAAATAGAACGGTAAAAAATGACAAATGATCAACCAATTTAAGCTACAAATAAATAACATAGGCATGAATAAAGAAACAGAACTACCATCCCTGTTCTTGTTTCTTTCCTCTATCTATCCATGGTTTTTCTTGTTTCTATCTCACAAGCTCTCCTATCTCAAAAGCTGTTTTTCTTGTTTCTCAAGCCTCTAAAATGAAAATACCACATCCTACCTAACCATCCACGGTTTCTTTCCTCTTCTTTCTAATTTTACATTGGTATACTCATCAATGATGTAATTCAAGCTAATGTGTAAATTGACACAATTACAGTTTTTGCTTCAATATGAAAGGTGCTAAGCTAATATGTGTCAGGTGGATAACATTAAGAGCAAAGCTATATATTGTTCCCACAATTATGTTAAGATTCATGTTTCCCCTTCCCAAACTAAATACCCTTCACCACCACTAGTGACATAACTAGCTAGCTAATTCCAAATCAAAGTATCATCACAATTACACATACATAAAACATCACCACATCTTTACTTTGTGAGAGAGTTTGATCATCCTCATAATCATCATAAAAAAATTGAAAAAAAAAGAAACATGTCTGAGGCAGGAATTTTTACAGCGGAAGTTAACAATAAATCAGCTTAGAAGACGTCATCCATCAAATAAAAGGTGTGAATAAAGCTATCAATTATACCAATAAATTAAGAACCTCAATTATGTGGGACTCGAACACATGTATCCGTGAGGTGTGAATAAGTCTTAAGATAATCCAGATGAGCTACAATAGATTTCTCACTTTCTTACATGATTATGTTAAGATTCTTGAGTAATAATGGTAAATTAGAGACCTGCACTTGTATCCTCTCCTAGGTGAAAGAAATTAAAGCAAAACACGATTACTGGACGAAGTTTGACTAGCGTTAACTATGCCATCTGGTTTTTCCTCTTGCTTATTCCCTCCTTTCAATATATTTTCTATCCATACTTTTTTTTGGAAGCAACTGATGTAAATTTTCTCATCCATTTAGGTCATTAACGCATGAGAATAGAAAGCAAAAAAATTGAGCTTTCAGGCATCAATGTTTCCTGCCACTTTAAGTCATCCACTATTGACTTCCATGACTTATAAATGAGCTACACTCCCAAATAGATAACAGACATGAGCAATAGAAAAAGTGGGTGAGTTAGAATCCGGTCAAAACAAAGGGGTTACATAGCAGAGAGATAAAAAATTTTCACAAAAAATCCATCAACCCAGAGAACACAACCAAATCAACATTCAAAAAAAAGCTCAATGGAGTACTTACAGAGGCTGTTGCGTTAGGATGAGCTCTAACTGGTAAATCTACTCAACCAACGACGAAATCGCAGAAACCCTAACGAGAACAACCCGCGAGAACTGAGAGAGAGGAGCGACTCCGCCTGGCCGACAATCGCAAGAGCAACCAAACGGAAATGGAGAAAGGGAGTCCGAGAGAACAGGGAGATAGAAGAAAGAGAAACAGGAGAGAGAGCTCGGCTGAGAGAGAGCAGAGGCAGTCTGAGAGGGGAACACCACTGATCGAACAGAAAAAAAAAATTGGCTAAGGGAAATTGTTTGATTCAGCGAGGGTATTTTGGGAATAATGAAAATTTCATTAATGAGCCCAGTAGATTCCCACACAATCTACCAGCAGAAGCAGCCAAAAGGCTGCTTCTGATTTCCCCCTAAAATTCCCCATAAATTCTCTAAGAAGCACTTTTTGAGGTGTTTACCAAATACTAAAAATAACTTTAGCTAGGTAGAGAATTCATTTTAAGCTCCTAAAATCTCTACCAAACCCACCCATTAGCATGTTGGTTTCAATTCAGCTTTTATTATTAAAGTGTTTACTTTATACATCTGAATCGTTGGGTCCAACCAAAGTACATAATTATCAGAAAGAGCATGCCCAAATATGCATGCGATTCAACTACTTTACTATTTTTTATTCTTAATTTCATTTTTGGGCTGATATAATGTGATTTGCCTTGATCAACAATTGTTTTGACATCGTGGTTGAAAACCTACCCCTCAAGTTGCAAAGTCATTTTAGGCCAATCTGCCGTCACTCGTTCCTTGCTTTTTTCCCCCCAATATTTTGAGGTATAAATTATTGAGGGTAGTTCCCCATATATTTTGTGGTTTATTTGATTATAATTAGAGTTCAAATTCTTCCTCTCAAATTTTCTTTTTACCCCTTTCAAAAGAAAATTATGTTGTAGAATATGAGAAAAAGAAAAACATATCATATTAAAAAATAATATTCAATTTAATAGAATTTAATGAAATCTAACTCTTCATAACTGTATTTATTGTATTTTATTTATTTATATTGTTTTTTTTTTAACTCGGCATAGAAATCTCTTATAGAGGTAACATATTTGAAATGAGAAAATCCATTGTTGAATTTCTTTTGAATTCGATAATTATCATCGCCCAAACCACTTTAATTGAAGAACTAAGATTGGTTTGTATTAAAACTTTAAATGGTGAATCGTTAAACATTGTTATTTTTTAATTATATGCTAAACTTGAATTTTATTTTTATTTTTATTAATTAACTATTTTATAATCTTTATGAATTATTGAAAACAATTTTAGTCTTAAACTTCAACCACCCAAACTAAATTGCTCAAATTTATGAGTGATTTCGTTTTAGTTTTTGTTAAAAATATCAGAAAAAATAACTTTTAGTTTGGTGAGTGGTTTCTAAAAAAAACAAAAAAGTCCCAAAACACCTCTGCTTCAGTTTTTTAATTAAATTTCAAAAACTTATTTTAGTTCTAAGTTAGTTTCGGTTTAGTTTTGAGACTTTGGTTTGTATTTTTAGAGTTTGGATTTGACTCTAAGACCGATTTATTTTCATGAGATATCAATAATTATAATGCAGATTTTTTTAATTAATTTAATGAAATTTTCTTTAAATTTTAATAACTTTTTAGTGACTAAATGGGTAAGTACAAAAATAATTTTTTATTGAGAAGAAAAAATTTTAAAAAAATATTTCTCTTTTCATTTTGTCAAGAACCCGCCTTAGTTTAAATTAGTGTGTTACCCGTGCAAATAGCACGGATATATATATACATCGAGAGAATAAATAGAAAACCAAAAGATAGAAACCCAGAAAAAAAAAAAAAAAAAAAAAAAAAAAAAAGATAAATGTGGTCTAAAACGCAATTAAAAAAATAGTGGGGAAAATTTTTTTGAAGAAGAAAGAAAGAGAAAACCCAGAAGAAAAGCATAAGATCCGTTCCAAAACACAGCAAAAGAAGAAAAATGAGGAAAAAAATTCGAAAAATGAAGAGGAAAAAAACCCAAGAAAAGTAAAAAGCCTCAAATAGAAGTGAAAAACCAGAAACTAACAGTAAATAAAGTAGAAGAACAATGACAACTCACCAGAAAAAGTAAAGAAATAGTTTTCAGGAAGCAGTAAGAGAAGAAAAACAAAGAAAAGAAACAAAAAACCCAAACCGAAAGGTAAAATTCCAAAAGATCGAAGAAGAGAAAATAAAACCAGCTAAAATCCATTACACAAAAAGGCACAGAAAAAGAAAGGCAAAACATCTGTTCCAAACCACTGTAGAAGAAGAAATATGAAGATGAACAAAACGCAAGAAAAGTAGGGGTTGTTCTTTTAGAATTAAATTGAGAAAAACTTTAAACTCGAGTTATAATTTTATTTAAATTTATATTTTTTTGTAAAATTTGAGTTTAAATTTGAGTTTGAACTCAAGTTTATGGCTAAACTCGAGTTCAATGGCTCGTTTAGTTCGCTGATTTAATTTTTTAATTCGAATTGAGATGTGATTTTATGTGAATGCTTTTTACTATAGTAAAAAAGTTAGATGTGACTGTTTCTGAGAGCTTTTTTACTGTAGCAAAACTCGAATTTTAAACTCGAATCAGCGAAATGAACGGGAGTTTTCCTTTCAACTCGAGTTCATAAACTCGAATTTAAGTTAATGAACATTAATTTTTTATTCTTAAAAATCTCAAAACTTTTTCATTTTAATCCTGATTGAGATAATTTTTTTCTATACGTTGACAACAGAAATATGAATAAAACATCACATATATACCCTATTAAAATTTTTCATCACTATTGAGTTTTTATTAAACGAAAATAGTAGAAAATAGGCCATTATGAAAAGTTTAAGGAAGTATATAAGCCAACTTTTAGCTATAGAAATTAATAGGTCATAACTTGTAAAGCTATAGTTTATAACCAGATAAGTTATGGACAAACTTGTCAAGTTATGATTCATAGCCAGACAAGTTATGGACAAAAACCGTGATTTATGGATAATAACTTGTCAATTTATGGTTCATAACCAGACAAGTTATGGACAAAAAGAATAATCTAGCCAATTTATTAACTTATGTAAACTATTGGTCTATTAATTTTAATTCATCTTAAGTCTTGACCTATTTTTTTCTTTATTAAAATACTATCTAAATATAAATTTAAATTTTAACTCATTTAAATATAAATTTAAAAAAATATTTATCTTAAATTATAACTTAAATATATATAATTAAATATAAACTCAAATTACAACTTTAATTAATAAGAGCCGGTAGAAAGTTTGAGGAACATATTTCGCATAAGAGAAAACGAAAACGCGGACACGTGTTTGGAAAAAGCGTCTGAAAAAGAAAAGAAAATAAAACCAGCTGGAATCCACTACACGAAAAGGCAGAAGAAAATGACGGACAAAAAATAGAAGTACATAACATGGTTCTTTGAACAGTAAAAATCGATCTCGTAGCATTGTGTAATAATGAGTACTGTGGCTGGGACAAGACAAAAGAGGATAATAATGTCCGTCCGTTGCCATCCCTACTAGATTTCATTTCATATATAAGAAAACGAAACGAGAACGACGTCGTGTGGAAAGTGGAAACGTACTACAATGAGCTCGAGGGCAGAAGTAGAACCTGTAAGTTCGACTCGCTCCGATCCTTTGAATCCGGAAGTCGAAGCCCAACCTCTCAAGCAAAGAATGGTTCCTCTTCACTGGCACAAAGTCGCTGCGATCTCTGGTATTTTTCTCTCTTGATTTTTGCTTTTGGGTGAAAAACTAAAAACCCAGAAGAAAATGATCCCTCTTTGGAATGAAAAACAGGAGTGGCCGCTGTTGGTTTGGGGGCATATGGTTCCCACCTCTTCAATCCCAAAAACCCAGTTTACAAAGAGGTTTATTTCTCAATGCCCATTTCATTATTACCAATAATTTGTGGGCGTTTTTTTTTTTTCCTATAATAACCTTTTTGTAAACGATGATGGGAAGGTTTGGCAAACTGCCTCTGTTTACCATTTAGCTCATTCAGTGGCTTTGCTTGCTGCTCCAATCACTAAACGCCCCAACATTGTGAGTTCTTTTTTTTTTCTTCTTCTTCTTTTCTTCCTGTTATGAATTCAATTCCAAGTGTTTGTTTTAGCCCGGTTTGATTAACTTATGTTTTCATTGTTTTGCATGAGTATAAACTGTTTGCGTTTCTGTTTCAGTTCGGAGGACTTTTGACTGCTGGTGTTATAGCATTCTCTGGGTCGTAAGTTCCATTTTCTTCTTTGCCTGTAAATGCTGCCCTTCGTAGTTTAAGAGCACACTATTTTTTGCCTGGAAAACACATTCTCTAATCCACGTTACCCAAAGACGAAAACGGTAGTTTGCCAAAATGACAACCAAAACTCAAGTCATTTTGCAAATACAAACTTTTGAAAAGTCATTCTACAAAAGCCCTCGTGAGGATTACGTTCTAGCTTAACTTTTGTTAGAATGTGCCTAACTTTTGTTAGAATTGTCAGTGCCCCGTCTCTAGTTTTAAGCTTCACCGTGACCATACCAGTTACTATTCATGCTGCATTATTTTCCATTAAAACTTTTCCACCATCAATTTCTTGCTAATCTTGAATCCAATGTTGGAGGGACACATGTGAATGAACACCACGAATCTAGTAGCTAGAACTTCTGCAGTTTCATACTCGTCTTCGACAATGGCAACATCTCCTGAAACTGACTTGTTTTTTTAGTTTTCTCTTTATTTTATTTTTTGTGCAGTCTCATTTGAAATTCCTCTGTGACATAGGAAGCATCTCTTCTTTGTAGTATTTCATATCGATCTTGATAGATTTTTACTTTCTGAATCTCTCTTTCTGTCCTTCCTTTGGTCATATCCCTCTCTAGAGCTATATTCTTTCCTATCAGATTTATCTTCAGTTCTTTGGAAAGTACTGCAGCTTGCACTTCTTGGTGGCAAAACCCTGCATACATGCATCAATGTCAATGGAATTCTCATAAGACTCGGCCTACAAGTTGATTCATATTACTGCTTGATCTTCATCATCCATGTTAACAGCTATTTTTTTCTGGATCAAGAATAATTCCGTTGAAATCATTAAGGGCTCCTTTGGAAGGTATACTCAAATCATGATTTGAGTTCATTGGCAGGAACTTTGTGAGAGAGGAAATTTCGGAATTTAAACTCTTTGTGAGATAAAAAACACTGTAGCAGAATTATGATTTGGGGTTGAGTATACCTTCCAAACAAGCCTTAAGATGATCAGTAATTGATTTACATGTAGGCATCTGAAACGTGGGAAGTTTTCTTTTCAAGAAAATCCTGTTTGCAAATGATCTTGTAATGCATAGATCTTCCAATTTCTACCAAATCAATGCAGCATCTTCTCCTGCTGGACGTTTTGAGAACCCAATCATGAAGACTCTAAATAATGAGATTGTGAGCCTTGTCCATTCTCCTTCTTCTCTCTATCCAATAGAGTAATTAGAAATTTCATTTAACCACCCAAGGGATCTAAAAGATCCTGCAGCACGAGTGGTGCCCTCATCTTCAATCTCCAAAGACCAAATTCTTTTTGCTTGTGAACCTTTTATGATCAGATTTGCAGACCTATTGCAAATGGACTCGGTTCTGACCTCTAATACCACTTGTTATTTCTTTTACTGCATTTTGGTCACCAAGAACACATTATGCAAGTGCAGTAAACCGGAAAAAAAAAAAAAACACTCAAATACACAAGAAGGAGATGAGAGATCGATGAGGTTTGGCATTCAGCCTACATCCCTAGCCTAGAACATTTGAGAAAGCAGCACTAACAAGAAACTACTCCCTCTATACACTAGACCCGATAATCCAAAAACCTTAGGTTCGTTTGGTTCACGTGTTCAAGTTAGTGATTCTGATTCATTGGCGAGAATTTTGTGAGAAGAAATTTTTGAATTCAATTTTTTTACGATATGAAAATACTGTAGCAGAATCCGAATCATGATTTAAGTATAGGAACCAAACGGGGCCTTAGTTTCTCTCTCAAGGAATTTTGAACTAAAAATCTGTTTTTATCTCTCTACAGTGTACGTCCTGTTACAAATCCGTATTTGTTTTATATACAAACTTCATGACACTTTCCAAAATTAAACCACTACTTCCCCCTTGCAAATGTCCTTTAAAAGCCTGGCCGTGACACACTCTGTTCTGAATTTTTCAAGTCTTTTGTGCCACTTCCTTAAAAAACGATACAGATTTTCTGGTCTTTATCCCTTGGATTCATGATGAATAGTTTCAATGAATTGCTAAATGAGGTTTTCGGGACATAGGGAACCATGTATATGTGAAAAGTGCTCACCTTATTAGATGCCATGAAATCAGAGAGCATGTCTATTATCTGCTCTGATGGGAAAAGCTAAACTAATAAACGGCTTATATGTGTTAGAAAATGCATATTGCAGTAGATGCTAATTTATATCTCTCAGAAAGAAAATAAAACTTGATATGGCGAGTTTAAAAGTATAGTTACTTTCACAATATGAGTGCAACAGGTCATTGCCATTGGCCCATGCGTGTTGCTTAAAGTATCCAATTGAGGATTGCTACATGCAAAGATAGTTCCCCCCTAAAAAACATGGATATATATATACACACACACACACACATATATATATTGCTTTCTTTTCCCTTGATGATGTTTGTATACATCGGACTTGTCATCATCTCTGGATTAACTAGTTTGCTTTGAAGAAACTATAATGTAACGAAGTATTCTCCATTCTGAGCTCATGTTATTAGAATTTAATTTTTACGAAATTTGGGTTCTGTAGATGTTATGCAGCGGCGCTGCTTGAGGATAGAAAGTATTCTGCCTTGGCTCCATTTGGTGGGTTTGCTTTCATGGCTGCTTGGGCTAGCTTGCTTTTTTAAGGATTTCTGTGCTCTCGCTTTTCGACTTTGACTAGTTCTCATAAGTTTTCTTGCAAAAGTCCATTCTCATTTTCCATGTCAATAGTTTATGACGTAAACAATCATTGTTAATGTCATGCTTCAGTGCTGTAAAGAATCGTACACTCCATGGTCGAATAAACAAATTTGATTAATAGTTACCAGTAAAGTTCACAAGAAATCTCATCGTTAAAAGAAATCTCATCCCATATATTAGTTGGAAGGATATTTCTAGGAACTGTCCTTTTTTCCCTACCAATTTGTTACATTAATTTTAACGGTTTAATTTATGATAAAAAATTGTATTGTGTCGCGTAGATCCCTGTTTGGAATGCCAAATATCTTTAAATGTCATTTTTTAATGGAAAAAACATGTAGGCTACAAACATTAACCACAATCAAGAATCTCGATGGGAAAAAAAAAAAAAACCACACAAAATCAACTTAAAATTGACAAATCTTATTAAACCACTAAGAAGATATCTACATTTTTTATCATCTTCAAATTCCTGCAAAAGGAGAATAACAAATAAAATATTAGAAATAAGTGGTACGTTGAAAAATGAACAAATAACGAAATGAAAAAGAACACCGATTAGATATAATGTCAAAATAACAGAACAATGACAATAGCAAAACAGCACAAACAAAAAAATGGTAGATATGTTTAGTTTTTTAATTAACACTCCCAAAATTTATAGGAAATTAAAAACAACAATATGAAACAATATAATTTAAGAAAGCGCCAAAAAATACATGATTTAAATTCGTGTTATATTATTTTTTTTCTCTTCTAATATGGATTGTATGTTGGTTTCGTAATTTGTGTAAAAACTTATTGCAATTCATATAAAGAAAATGTAAATACTACATAGAACACAATCGAATGTGTGCATATCTATATATCATATGAAAAATGCGTAGATAACTAATAAAAGGTAGACCTTATATGTTTAGGAACAACCCGTCTTCTATTAGTGTATGGAGTTAAACACCATAGGTGCTCCTGACATTGTTCATATCATATATACTAGTTCACTAAGAACAACGATATGAATGGAAAGATCAAATCTTCTTAGCCAACCATAACACTTGCTTCTTTGTCATAGTAGTGTTCTGAACCATGACTCCAACAACTATTCCACTGCCAAGTCTAATAACAACCGTTAGCCAATTGAAGTCACGGAACAAAGAGTAGTCCCAATCTCTCTCTTCATCTCCAAGACTCAAACTGGGTTCCGTTGAAGATTGGTCAGGATCACCACACTTTTTGGACATCGGATCACCGCACAATTCCGAGTTTACCATGTACGAGGTAATGTCAAATGTGTTGAGTTGGTTCCCTTGTGGTATTCGTCCCGCGAGATGGTTGCGAGAGACGTTGAAGAAAGCAAGGAAAGTGAGTTCCACAAGACTCTTGAGGAATCTCTCCAGAAAGTTTGTTTCGCGACACGTCAAGTGATTTGAGGCACGTCATGTTCCCAAAAGAAGATGGAATTCTACCAGTAAGAATGTTGTTGGAAAGGTTGAGTAATCTAAGCCCTTGTTAACCCCCGATGCAATTCGGAATCTCACCTTGGAATCTGTTGCTTGAGAAATCAATAACCACAAGAACTCCTTGGATCCGTCCATAGTGCAAGTTCATTCCTTTAACTGTCAGTGTGGTCGAGTAGGCATATTCTACAGTCCATGTACGCATTACCGCTTTGAAACTCGATTGTGTCTGCATATACGTAATCGGTGAGTTTCCGTAATCAAATACTTTCATGGAATGCCAATTACAGAGATATTCTGATGGCAATTCACCATGAAAATTATTGTAAGAAAGATCGCAAACTTCGAAACTCGGAAGTAGAAGTGGGATTCCTTATCACTCCATGGAGGCGATTTGACCGAAGTGTGAGCAGGCTCAACTTTGGAAGACTCCCTAGCCAGGATGGGAATACATCAAGCAGCTGATTGTTTCCAAGACTAATGTTTTCGAGCATCATACAATTCGCCAATGACCGCGGTAATTGGCCCTTAAGCCAGTTATAGCTAAGATCAATCATCCCCAAATTGCTTCCATTCTTTGAGCAAATTTGAGGAATGGTACCCTGAAAGGAATTGTTTCTAATACTCAGTATGGAAAGGACATTTTGGGATTCTCCAAACATTGGGGAAGTATTCCACTCAACAAGTTATTGGACAAATCAAGAAGTACAAGGGAACTTAGCTCGCAAAACATTGTTGGAAATTGTTCAATGCTCGTCAAGAAGTGGTCAAATAGACAATAGTATGCATGCTTGCATTCCATACCCACTGGGGTATTGGGCCATCTATATTGTCTCTCCCAAGATCCAAGAACCTCAGTTTGTCTTGGTACCTTAGGAAATCGGAAATTCCCTTAAATTGCAAGAAGTCAATCCCAAGATCTCAAATTTCTTAACTGTCGAATTTTTATTGTTGGGACGTTTTGTAAGCACTGTCAATCTATAATTGTTACTAAGTGCAAGTTCCTGCAAGATTTTTCATGTCATCAAACATGCCAAAATCGACTGTGCCACTGAAATAATTTTCATACAGGTTAAGGGTTCGAAAATTCTTCAGTCTCGACAACGATTGTGGGATCGGACCGTGCAATTTATTTTTGGAAAAACCAAGAATATTTAATTTGGTAAGGTTTGCAATCCATGGGTAGAATTTGACATGTCAGTTGATTCCCACCGAGTCATAAGACGGTTAGTTGCGTGAGGTTTTGAAGGAACAAAGGAGATTTCGCCGCTGAAATTGTTGTAGGAAAAGTCCAAATAAGTGATCCTAGTCAATTTACCAAGTGAAGAAGGAGGAATCCCTGAAAACTTGGATTTTGAAACTCTAAGAAGTTCCAAGGAATCAAGTTTTTCTATAGAATAAGGTTTGTTACCAGAAAAACTAGTACTACCTAACCATAGTTGTTTAAGAGGACTACTAGATCGAAACTCGGGTAAATGACCAACAAGATTTTGGTTAGTAAGGATAGAAACGGAAGTTTAGAAGTCAGAAAATCTCGTTGGGGTATTCTCCATATAGTCCGCAATTTTTTAAGAGAAGGTGTGTCAAAGAAGAGAAATTTGCGAAGAAATCGGGCAGTTCGGAGGACATGTTAAGGTAACTCAGATCAAGTGATGATAAATTTGATAAATGTGAAATCTCTGATGGGACCGGACCAGTGAAATAGGAAGAAGAGAGATTCACATATGTCAACTTTGTAAGACGGCCCTATGCATATGGGATTGGAGAGTAATTGAAATGATTATCGGCCAAGTTAAGCCTTTCAAGACGTGAAAGTTGAAAAAGTTGGCTGCTCGAATCAAGGGAACCATAAAGACAACTACTGTTGAGATTAAGAGAAATTACGTGACCGGAGTTGTTGTGGCACTCGACGCCATCCCACGAGCATCAATCGGTTACTACCATCCATGACGCAACTTTCGGATAGGCCAATGAGTCACGAGAAGCAGACTTGTCTACGGTAAAGCTATCTTTCAGTTGCAGCAAGGCAAGGCTCATATTATTACGGCAAAGTGGCAGCACAGAATTAATGAACAAACAAGTGATTAGATAAAGAAATAGTGCAATTAGTGCTGTTGTAGGGTTAAAATTCTAAACCCTAATCTAGACATTAGATGGGACTCACGCGTCATATATGAGGACATTTAATGATCGGAGACAGCTTTGTCCTAAACTGTCACGTCAGACGAAGGTTCTCTTGGGAGTAGAACGCAAATAAAGCAAAAAGCGCACGAAGGCGGTCGATCGCTCTGAGGAGTCGAGGAAAACAGGAGGTCGACTTCACCATCAGTTGTAAGCAAAGATGGCTCTAAGAGCGCCTAGGAAGTCGAGTCCACGCAGATCGAGAGAGATACGGGGTCTGCCCGAGATTTGTGACTTGTAATTAAAATAAGCGAAGTGGGGAAGTAAGTGAGGAAATCCTGCTAATTGATAGAAATCCTAACCAACCGGGGATATTATCCCAAAATATAGGGAAAAAATCCCGAAATAAAATAAGGAGATGTATAGAGATTGTAGGGGATATATATGTAGAAAAGGCAAGTCCAGAAAAACATTATGTAATCTTATTTTTGAGAACATAGTGAATTTCTCTCATCCTCACAGTGGATATAGCTGTTGATCAAAGGATGAACCACTATAATTCTATGCTCTTGCTTTCTAACTCTTCTTAATTCTTATTAATCGCTCTAAAGATCATAAAAAGCACGTTATCCATCTTAAAATTTAAATTATTCTTGCTGACGAATTTCTACTGTCAACAAGTGCCATTTTGTTTTAGTAAAAGTCAGAGACGAAGAAACTAGCCACGAGACACAAGTTATTCATAGATTTGAACTTGAAGAATTTGAGCAATGCTAAAACATTTCTCAACTTAATTACTCGAATAAACTATAAACAGCACGTAACTCCAAATATGTAACTCCATATCTTCGTTCACTAAAAAAAATAGCTAAAAAATGTTATACAAGCCAAACACAAAAAAAGATTACATTTTTTTGGGGTTCTTTTAAGAGTCGTTTTTTGATGTTGAACAAAGATAAGGGTCAATGCTGGTGGTTGGTACCACTTGAATCACCTTTGTGATCATCTTGATTTGGAGCAACTACACTAAATTCTCTAGAACTTAATGATGGCATAACTTTAGTGACAAAAAATAATGGCATAACTTTAACCGAATTTAATTATAAGAGAAAATCATTTTGCTAGTTTGTGTTTTTTACGATTATTATAAAGGTATTATATGTTAGTGATAGTATTAAAATGGTATTTTACTATCCATGTATATATGTAAATATACCATTTTGTTCCTTAAATTTGTTTATCTAGAGATAAACTTCCTTCACACATTTATTTTCCTTTTTATTTAATTACTTTCAAAAATTAGTAAAATCCGAACATATCATTTATGCCACATTGATACAATTTACTGATACTTTCAGTTTTTTATCCTAATTTAGAGCCAGTTAAATAAAGAGGTTAAAAGGAAACATAGAATGAGGCCCGTTTAGTAACGTTTTCAAAATGATTTTATTTTTAATAGAAAAGTAAAAATAAGATTGTTTTGAAAATCATTCTAAGACCGATTTTAAAATTGCATTTGGTTGGTTTTTTAAGAGCTTATTTTGAGCATAATAAAAAAGTAAAATCGTATTTGGTTATAATTATTAATTAATATATTATAACATTATTGATAACTACTAGAAAATGAAAACAGAATAGGGAAAATAACTTTTAACCATTTTTTAATTGTTTCATAAAAATCATTCTCACTGTTTTTTATTTTTATTTTCGTTTTCAAAACATTTGTTAAATAAACACAGTTTGCAGACCGTTTTCATTTTTGTGCGTCAAAACAAGTGCATAAACGTTTTTAAAAACAAGTAAAAATCAATTCCAAACGCACATGTTCTAAAAATCAGTTTCAAAATATTAAATTGTATTTTTAAAACGTAGACATATTATTTTATTACCATGAAAACACAAGATACCTTTTAAGAATTGTGAATAATAGAGGATTCCGAAATGATATTTACTCTCATCTATAATGGTATTCAATAAACTGTTCAAATTTTTAAGAATTGTTCCCTCCTTTTTTTTTACTAAAGCATTTTTATTCCTAAATTATGTAAGGGTAGTTATGTATTTTCACTTTTAATTGCTTGTGACACAGATAGAAGAATTTTTAACAGGATACTTTTATCTTTACTGAAAACATGGAAGAAACTCACATATTACTAAAACACAATATACACAGTCACACGTACATATATATATATATATATATATATTATGTATATTAATTATCTTTTTTCTTGCATTGAATGGTGAAGTGTGACCCCGTAACGTTCATTTAATCTTCCTATTTTACTGTGTCCTACTTTGATCATACTCGGATAATTGATACGCGTTTCTTGAAGAAAACAATGTGTCCATACAATGACTGACCATTTTAACACTATCCTTCTGTCATATATGATATAACCATGCAACAAGTATCAAGTAAACAATATAGAGTTAATATTAATTCATTATCACAGTATGAACGGCCATCTGATTATCAATATGTTCAAATCATTGTTTGGCATTAACCTTGCAACTTGCCTTTTATTATTATTATTATCAACATCATCTATCTTACCATTTTAATATTATCGTTGTTAATATTGTTAATGCATTTTGAGTTGGCTTATTTTTGGTAAACTGGTTGTAAGATTTACTGGCATTATAAATTAGTAGACCTCTTAAGGAAAGTCTTATTGTCATGTTTATGGGCTGCAAATCAAAGGATTTGATTGCTGAAAATGAAGAGTGGACTTTTGGGGGGAATTGATTGCTTGTAATCTGCAGGCTGGAGCTTGGTTGTATGTGTGAAAAAAGGGATGTACGCCGGCTGTTTTTGTGTATTCTATGGGGTGAGTATTTTGGGGTGATAGTGCGATGCACGTGGACAGGTTTTTGAGCAAAATAGAACCTGGTGGAATATGGCAGAACATATGTGTGGTTTTGGCTTCTGGAAAATAGAGAGAAAGTGCTGAAAACAGGAGAGACGTTTGTGTTCATGTGAGAATGAGATTGTAATGTTAAGTTTTGTTTGATGTGTTGCGACGAATTGTTAAGAACACTTTCAAGTTGGTTCTTCGGGAGAACATTTCTTTGGTTTCGGGAGGAAACCGTCAAGTCGAGTGGTGCTCGCTGATCAAGCTTCCTAAAGAGATCCTTGACAATGTCGCCGTTGCCTAGAATCTCCTTAGGAAGCTTGATCAGCGAGCACCACTCGACTTGACGGTTTCCTCCCGAAACCAAAGAAATCTTCTCCCGAAGAACCAACTTGAAAGTGTTCTTAACAATTCGTCACAACACATCAAACGATACTTAACATTACAATCTCTTTTAATTCAGTTCCAGTTGTGAGTGCAATAAAATAACAAAAAGTATAAAGAACACACGAAAAATAGATCTGTCTACACTTTTACTTTCATTAATGTCACACCCAATGTTGTAACACCATTTGTGACACCGACCGAAAAACGGACCTAACAAATATAATAAGTACCAATCAGACGGTATTGATAGTGTGAACATTTCACTTAACATTCAACGTCTAATATGCGTTTAACTTAAACATATAGCAATTACGTCTTCTAGTATGAGAATATAACGGATAAATATAACCATCATATAATTATTTTTTCAAATTAAAACATTGGCAATGATCTTTCTAAGTATAGGGACGCAAACATGGATAAATATAACAGTCCTAAAATTGTTTTTTTTCAAATTAAAACATAAATATATAAATATCTTTCTAAAATAATAATGTAAACTTATTAGAAAGTATAAATTTCAAACATATAAGATAATGATTAAACAAAAATTAAAAGAATATTATATATATAATGATGATTGAATAAATGCAAATTAATGGGAAATGAATTGGCAATGTGCAATATGAATACCTTTATAATCTTGGTTGAAATACAAAAATTGAAAAGGGAGGCATTCCCTCTTCTATATGTCTAATAGACTATTTATTTATAATCAGAATATTGTCAAACATTCAATATATAAGTAAATAATTATAATAATTAATTAATTAGCTAATTAATTTCTGATATTTATTTAATAACTTATTATTAGTTATTTAATTAACAATTACATAATCAATTTGTGCTAATCAATCTTTAATATATAATTGATTACTAATTGTATTTATATATTACAAAATTAAATATTAGTAATTATTAACTAATTAGAGAATTACTATATTTATTTATTTATTAAATAATTATCAATTATTATCAAGCTATATAGTTAATAGTCAGCTATTAATTATTAACTATTTAATATAGAACTACTGATGAGTCCTGGAAAATGAAAAGGAAAAGAGAAATAACTTTATTTTGGGCCTTTTTTAAAATTTCTTTCAAAAAAAAAAAATGACTGTTTCCAATATTATGAGTCATTTTCGAAAATACATACTAAACATATGAGATTTAAAAATTGTCCCAGGAAACATGTCGCACGGATATATTATTAGTTGTTAATTTTGAATTACACTTCAAAATTTATTGGCAATTAAAAAGAAAAATATGAACAATAGTTTTTTGCCAAAATTTTAGATTCATAATATGTGATTTCTTTTCTACTATATGGACCATAGGTTGGTTTCGTAATATTTGTGTAAAAACATTTTGCAATTCAGGAAAAAAAAATGCAATTACTACATAGAGATCGTGTTCACATCGTGTGTGTATATATTATAAAAAAAATATTTAAAAAAGACTATCGGTACTTAGAGGTGAAACTTATTAGACATATATATTAATGTCTCGCTCTCAGCTTAACAAGTGCCCTTACATTTATAATATAATTCACAAGAACAACAGTATATTTCAAGCTCTATATACGTCTCCTCGCTTGCGACTTCTTCTTGCCCCAACATGTTATCTTCTTCGCTAACCATAACACTCGCTTCTTTGTCATTATAGTGTTCTCAAGCATGACTCCAACAACAATTCCACCGCTAAGTCCAATAACAACCGTCAGCCAATTAAAGTCACGAAACAAAGAGTAGTCCCAATCTTTCTCTTCATGGTCTCCAAATCTCGAACTTGGTTCTGTAGGAGATTTGTCAGCATTATGTCCACACTTTTTGGACAAGGGATCACCACACAATTCCAAGTTTCCCATGTACGAGGTATTCTCAAATGTGCTGAGTTGGTTCCCTTGGGGTATTCGTCCTGTGAGAAGGTTGTTGGAGACGTTGAAGAAAGCAAGGAAAGTGAGTTCCACAAGACTCCGAGGAATCTCTCCGGAAAGTTTGTTTCGCGACAAGTCAATCGATTCGAGGGATGTCATGTTCCCAAAAGAATATGGAATTCTACCATTAAGATTGTTGTTGGAAAGGTTGAGTAGTCTAAGCCCTTGTAAGTCCCCAATGCAATGCGGAATCTCACCTTGGAACCTGTTGATATAAAGGAAAAATAGTGTATCAAAATATCTTTAACTTGGATTTGCATCAATGAAAGATTAGTTAAGCAATTGACAAAAATTTCCTCTCTCTCTAATTCTCATACCTGTTGCTAGAAAAATCGATGACGACAAGAATTTCTTGGATCCTTCCATAGTGCAAGTTCAAGCCTTTAACTGTTATTGTGGTCGAGTAGGCATATTCTAGAGTCCATGTACGCCTTACAGCTTCAAAACTTGATTGCGTCTGCATATACGTTACCGGTGATCTTCCATAGTCAGTGACTTTCATGGAATGCCAATTTCGGAGGTATTCTGATGGCAATTCGCCATGGAAATTATTGTAAGAGATGTCAATAACACGCAAACTTTGAAACTCATGAGTAGATGTAGAGTTCCTGATCACTCCATGAAGGCGATTTGACCGAAGTGTGAGCAGGCTCAACTTTGGAAGACTCCCTAGCCAGGATGGGAATAGATCAAGCAGTTGATTGTTTCCGAGATTAATGCTCTCGAGCATCATACAATTCGCCAATGACCGTGGTAATTGCCCCTTAAGCCGGTTATAGCTAAGATCAATCATCCTCAAATTGCTTCCATTTTTTGAGCAAATTTGAGGAATGGTACCATGAAAGGAATTGTTTCTAATACTCAATATGGAAAGGACATTTTTGGGATTCTCCAAACATTGTGGAAGTATTCCACTCAACAAGTTATTGGACAAATCAAGAAGTACAAGGGAACTTAGCTCGCAGAACATTGTTGGAAATTGTTCAATGCTCGTCAAGAAGTTATCATTAACGGCCAAAAAGACAATAGTATGCATGCTTGCATTCCATACCCACTTGGGCATTGGACCATATATATTGTTTCTCCCAAGATCCAAGAATCTTAGTTTGTCTTGGTGTTTTAGGAATTCAGGAAATTCCCTTAAATTGCAGAAAGTCAATCCTAAGATCTCAAATTTAGGGTATGTTGATTTTGTATTGTTGGCACGGTTTGTAAGCACTGACAAATTTTGATTGTTACCAAGTGCTAGTTCCATAAGATCTTTCATGTCATCAAACATGCTAAAATCGACCGTGCCATTGAAATAATTCTCGTAAAGATTAAGTGTTTGGAGTTTCTTTAGCCTAGACAATGATTGGGGTATGGGACCATTCAATTTGTTCCTTGCAAGGCTTAGGACTCTTAATTCCGTAAGGTTTCCCATCCATGATGGGATTTGGCCAGTTAGTTGATTCCCGCCAAGCCATAAGATGTTTAGCTTGGTAAGGTTTTGAAGGAAAGTAGGGAATTCTCCGCTAAAATTGTTGTAGGAAAGGTCCAAAAAAGTGATATTAGCTAGCCTGCCTAGTGAAGAGGGAAGAAACCCCGAAAACTTGGACTTTGCAACACTCAAAATTTCCAAGGATTCAAGTTTTCCGATTGAAAAAGGTATTTCACCGGCTAAGTTTGTACGGGAAAACCACATTGTTCTAAGAGGACTACCTGAGCGAAATTCGGGGAACTGACCAGTGAGATTTGGATTGTGTTGTGCAGCAAGAAACTGAAGTTTGGGAAGGTGGAAAATCTTTTCTGGAAAGTCTCCATACAGTCCACAATTTTTCATGAGAAGGTGCTTTAAAGAAGAGAGATTTACCAAAAACTCAGGCACTTGGGACGATATGTCGACATAGCTAAGGTCGATTGTCGACAAATTGGAGAGAAGTGAAATTTCTGAAGGAAGCCCACTAAAAAAGGAATTAGAGAGATTGAGATATGTTAAATCTGCGAGATGGCCTAGTTTAGCTGGGACTTGAGAGTGATTGAAATGATTATCCGCCAGGTTTAGCATTCGAAGATGTTTTAAGTTAAAAAGACTAGTACTAGAGCTGATAGAACCATAAAGACAACTACTACTAAGATCAAGAGAAATTACATGACCAGTTTTGCCATCGCACTGGACTCCGTCCCACGAGCAACAATCAGACTCGGCGCCATTTTGTTCTGCCTGATCCCATGACGCAAGTTTCGGATAGGCCCTAGGGTCACGAGAAGCGGACATGTTTATGGTCAGGATCTCCTTCAATTGCAATAAGGCAATGCTTTCATCCTTGTGGCAAAGTGGCTGCACAGGAAGTAGGAACAGATTAGAACTACAACTGAGTATTATAATGTGTAGTAATGGGAACATGTATAACTCCATATTCATGTATGTCAGATACTAATGATGGATCGTTTTAACTGGCCGGGATAAATATTTATAGAGAGCAAAAAAGAAGTTTCTGATAAAAATATATCCCATTGCTATCATTTAGCAGCCACCTTGAGTCAATTACGCCGTCGTGCCATATGTCAAAAGACATTGCACTCGTTGCGTGGTGAAGGCAATCTAAACTTAGCTAGTAAATGGCATTTATTAGATGGATTCCCTCAAAAAGTTAGATACGAATTTTATATTTGGCACCCAAAAGTGTAAAAAATATGTTATTTTTATTTATGAACTAATTTATAATATTATTTGTGTTATATCTACTTTTTATTATCGAGTAGTTTTGAAGGTTGTAAAAGTAATATTTTAATTTAGAATAATTTAAACATTAATTCATAATTAAATAAAACGTAAATAAATCAACCCAATAATAATCAAATGTTAAAAATTTAGTATATATTTTGCACTAAATTCACCACCAGCTGAATGATCGTTTTAATGAGATAAATTTAACTTGCTTCTTTCTATAACATGCTTAAGACTAAAGGCTTACTTAATTCAATTTACTGACTATTATCTGAAAAAATTTCATTCATTAATGGCTCATGTTACTTGATGATCAACTTACTTATATTATGAACATCCATTTAAAAGAAGTTTTGGGATTAAAAGGTATTGCTGATCTTGTACAAAAAAAATTATTAAGACAGAAAAGGAATGAGATATATCTATTAGTTTATCAGCTTCTGACATTAATATTAATTTACTTGTTATTGCTATTGCAGGGAGGGTATTTTTCTTCGTGAATTTTGTAAAGAATTGGCTATGCAATCAAATTGGAAATGATTGTAATTAAATTTTTGTTGCACTTATAATTAGTCTTGCTCACAAAATTCTTGATTTTGTCACTGGTTAATGAATCTGTTCATACCTTTATCACGTAAAATAGTCTTGATGTTTTGCATTCCTCCTTATAAGAAGTAAACTCGGTAGACTTTTGACAAAAGCCATGGCCACATTAATGTAACAAATAAATGAACAGTGAGTTACACAGTGTTTCTCTAACCACTTGCACATCTAAAGACAGGGCAGCTCAAGGATAAGGCAGCTAAGGCCGCCTTAGGCGTCACCTTGACTTTATAACAGTAATAAAAGATTGATCAAGTCTTATTAGAATCGGTCTTGTTTTAGTGTACAAAATATTAATCTATTAACAAGGAGAAAATTGTTGATCTTGCCTCTAATGTACGTTGATCAGAATTTTTACCATTTAATTTTTAATAATACTCTTTTAATTAATATAATTATTTGACTAAAAAAGATATTAATCAAGAGTAAGAGATAAAAGTTCAGACTCATATACTCTCATATATATTTATCTCCCGTACATGAAGATTTCTTAAACGTTGGATGCTGTCTAATGTAAAAAGTTTGGATTTCTCCAAAAAGTAAAGAAGCAATCAAATCTGGAAACCATGAACCAGAAGAGGAAAAATCTTTTTGGTTCACTTAAGAGTACAGTTGACTTGTGTTAGGCACAATAATAGTAGTTGCATTAATTATCTGTTATCCTTTTAACACAATGGAATGCACAAACTAAGCTCTAAAATGGAAACGGAGGGAAAACTAATTTTGCTAAGCTCGTCGCTTTCGATCATCTTCCTCTTCATCATCAGAGTCACCACTCTCACGAAACCTTGGATTCTTTTCCTGTTGGATCATATCAATTCGACATAATCAAATACTTTCCTCGAAGAGGGAGGAATACGAAGGATAAATAGAGAACAGAAAAGATAAGTGACTAGGAAATAAAGCCAACACTGTCATCAGAAATTACCGGTCTGGAGTCAGGATCAGAGTTTTTCAGCGATTCATTGTCTGTGTGTCTCTTAGAGGACTCATAACGGCGATCATCATCCCGGAATCTTTTCCGATGATAATCTGCTTTCAAACAATAATTCACAGATATTCAAAAACATGTAAAACAGGTTCATCCAATTATAGAAATGCTGTTGAAGGGAATACCTCTGCCAGGCCGATAAGAACCCCCGTGACCAAGACTTCCGCCTTGTCTACCATCTGCAAGAGAAAAGATGAGCTGCTGAAACTATAATGCGCGATGGAAAGCCTACGATTAGAGCAAGCTCCAATATTTTTCCTTTGGGACGAATGGGGATTAATAATCTTTTTCGTTACAGGGATGGATAACCAAAATGATCCCACTCAACGCCCTCAAGCATGCTTCTATAGGATGAGGAAAGGATCAAATGGACAAATACCATAATTAATGACCGTGACAAACTTGCTGATTTCTATCAAGCCAATGCCATTGAAAAAAATCGAACATTTGAAAGAAGGGTGCGTACATAAAACTATGTATTTATGTGTACATATAATTTTGATCTCAAGTAATTTTTATTTATAGAAGTAAAACGCGTCCCCATTATTCCATGAACGCTTAAAATTTAAATGAGTCCCTACGCATATTTGGACTATTTGGATGAATTGTACGGGAATAAAGATGTATGATCCTATACAGCATCTAGATGTGAGTGCAACTAATCATGCATAAACATCTCAGTAGAGGAAACTATTTGGAAAAATTATGAATAAACTAGAAGCACTCAGTCTTGCTTCAAAAACCTCTAGTACTAGATAAAGCCAAAGAAAAATATTCAACCAAACAAGTCGAGTTTTGACCATTTTAGAGGAAAAAAAAATAGTCAAAGTTTTGAGCAAAAGGCATAATACACAAGTCAAAGCGATCTCTGCAACTTACAGTGAGGTGGCATAACGGGCAGGAAAGAGCCCAGCGATCCAGCACCATAATCTACAAGCTGTCTCTGAGCTTCTAACTCTCTCTGAACTAATTTTCCATAACCACCTCTACGTATAACATATTAAGGAAACTATAGAGGGCCTTTTAACTCACAAGTAAAATAAGATTATGAACTTTGTCTCGTTAAAATAATAATAAAAAGAAAGAAAAAAAGATCTCAAAAGGAACTATATACATCACCAATAAAATCAAATCTCAAGGAAAGATAGAAAACTACAAGTACATTTTTAAAATCTGAAATTCTAAAGGATATCTGGATCATAGTCAGTACGATACTCATCACGCACCTGCAAAATGAATCAAGAAGAAAAGGCTACATGAATCAAGCACACGATTAAAACTTGGTCAATACATGGCATCAGGAATAATAATTCACCTGTCCACCACTTCGACCTCGACCCCACTGCCTGCCCTCTTGGAATCCCCAATCAAAATCCACACGAATAGGACGATCATCAAGGATTGTCCCGCTTATATATTTCACAGCATCGTCAGTATCCTCTCGAGAATAGTATCTGCAAGGACATAATTCTAAAGTAGGAGAAAGAATAGCATCTCTATAAGGTACGAGACACTGATAAACTACAATATGAAACAGTGCTATTGTAGATGGGCAAAATGCGTTTTCAATTGTGACAATCTAAAGATTTATAATTGGAAAAAAATAATAATAAAAAAAAGACGGCACATACACGCGCATATCTACAGATTAAAGAATCTGGACCATGACACAGAAATTGCAGCACTATCAATGTTGATACAAAAATTACAGGTTGGCAAACCAATATAAAAAGGAATAACATAAATTAATAGCAAGTATATGGTAAAAATATTGTATTGAGTTTACAATTGATAGGTTACATTGTATATTTAAATAGGTTTACAAGAGGACTATTCTAGGAAACTATACAAAGACAAATCAGCTAACAGAATCAAATCATCTAAAATAAGTGAGTTTCCTCATTCTAGTTTTGACTCAATCTCCTATATTTACATTCCTGTTTACTTGGTATATTCAATACCGAATATTCCACTTTCCAACACTCCCCCTCAAGCTGACTTGCAGATATCTTCCATTGCTAGCTTGTCTATTAGAAAGTCAAATTGTCTCTTGTGTAGTCCTTTAGTGAGTATGTCTGATGTCTGTTGAGCAGTTGGCACATAGGGAATGCAGATCAGACCATTCTCAACTTTCTCCTTAGTAAAATGCTTGTCCACTTTGATGTGCTTTTTCTATCATGTGGAACTGGGTTATGAGCAATCGAAATAGCAGCCTTGTTGTCGCAATAAACCTTCATAGGAAGAGAAACTGAGTTCTACAAGTCTTCTAATAACCTCTTGATCCACATTGCTTCACAAATACCGTGTGCTAGAGATCTAAACTCGGCCTCAGCACTACTTCATTCTACAACATTCTGTTTTTTTCTTCGCAAGGTTACAAGGTTTCCTCCAACAAAGGTGCAATATCCTGAGGTTGATCGTCTATCTGTACTACTCCCTGCCCAATCAGCATCTATATAGACTTCAACTTGTAGGTTATTACGCTTTCTAAACATTAGACCTCTCTCAGAAGTTCCCTTCAGATATCTCAAAATTATGTAGGCTGCATCAAAGTGTTCCTGTCCTGGTGAATGCATGAATTGACTTATCATGCTCACGGCAAATGCTATGTCAGGACGAGTATGTGACAAGTAGATTAATCATCTCACTAAATGCTGAAATTTATCCCTCTCAATCACATCTTCAGGATTAGCAGGATTGAGTTTCAAGTTAGCTTCAATTGGAGTTTCAGCAGCTTTACATCCCAGAAAACCTGTTTCCTTGAGTAGATCAAGGATGTACTTCCTTTGGTTAACAAAAATTCCTTCTTTTGATCTCGCAAACTCCATAACAAGAAAATATTTCAATGCACCCAGATCCTTAATCTCGAAGTCTTCTTCAACATTACTAGTTCTTCAAGATCATCACCTGTCAAAATTATGTCATCCACATAAACAATTAGGACTGCAATTCTTCCCTGCTCAGAATGTCTATAAAACATGGTATGATCGGCTTGGCTTTGATCATAGCCATTACTCTTTACAGCCTTTCCAAAACGTTCAAACCACGCTCTTGGCGACTGTTTAAGGCCATATAGAGACTTCTTGAGCCTACAAACTTT